GCTGCTGTATAAATAGCTAAGTTATTCCTGCAAGGGGGCACAGCAGACAGCTGGGTGGCGGAAACAATACAGCTATTCCAAGGTAAATGGTTTATATTTGAGAATCAGCATGCTTAGGTAATGAAAAATATTAATGTATGCTATTATTGTAAACTGAACAACTTAAAATGTGTCTATCACTTTGCATTGTTCTGGCATTATTTGCTACTATTTTTCCAGCCTCTGGTTTTATTTGATAGGTCTGGGAAGCGCACAGAATCTTTGGTGGGGAAAAAAAATCCCAGCTGTCTTTAAGACCATTCAGTATTCTGGTTAAAAACTGTTTGTGGTTTTTTTTTCTCTCTTTTCTCTTTCTCAAAGGTATCAGAAAGCAGCTGAAGAAGCCACTGCTGAGAAAAAAAGAAGTGTAAGTATTTGTTTCCTAGGCAGTAAGTAACAGCCTGCAATCAGAACGGATCGCCTACATGCAATGTTTCTGTGACAGTTGATTTTTGGAATGTCAGAATTGCTGCCATGTGTCCTACAGAAAACTTGGCTTAGACATAGTGTTTGCTTTTGACTCATTCCCCCTACCCTTTCCCAGTGTGAATGAAAGGAAAGATCAAGTGCCTTGCCCAAAGCTATATGTTGAATCACCAATTCGCTTCTAAGCAAAAGGCAAAACGAGGTAACCACAACACATGAATATCCACCTCTTTGTTCTTAGCTGCAGGCAGTTGTGTGGCACCTCTTCCTTTCATAACTAAATTTAAAAGCCTGCTTAAAAGAAGCTACCAGCCTCTCTGAAATCTACCATGTATATCTTCGATAGCTGTAGAATCCATTAAGGGGGATCTTCTCTAAAGTGGCTTACGGGGTTCAAAATGCCCCTGGATGAGGGAGAGCCATCCTTTTTGGCTCTGTTACAGCCTCGCATTCCCTCCTGTAAACTACATTGCACTTACTGTTCTGGGGTCAGGGGACCCTGGCTGAAATACCAGGCACTAAGATTGCAGGTCTTTGTATAAGCAGATCCTCAGTTTAATTTTTATTTAAAAAGACCGGCAATATTTTCAGGATATATAGGTAGGTCTTTGTTAGACCATGCTGCCTTGATCTCTGTAATGCTTGGGGAGTCATTCTTTTTCTGTTGGGGATATAGGTGCGATAAAATAAGCATTCTAAAAATTACTCTCCAGTTTTAAATCTTCTTCATTGCTGTGTGCTTGGGGAACAGACAAGTCCCAAGCAAGAATGACTTGTGTTTATGAAGTATGCCGGGACTCCATAGGCGTCATGTCCAGAGGTGTTCCTGTGGAAACCTGCTGCGCAATTTTCAGTACTTCTGTTACATTACAACTTTAGTACTTTCTTTTAAACACAGTCAGCAAGCAAGCTGATCTTTTTGAAGTCTAGGTGGATTCAAGTTAATTTGCAAAGCAGTGTTCAAAATGTGACCAGAAGAGTAATAGGGTGAGAGACTTAAATCCTAATATAGCTCCTAATCCTGTTTAATTCCTGTAAGCCTTGCAGACCTGTTCCACTTGCAATGAGTTTGATACATAGTGGTCTCCATAAGGGAGAGACAGCAAAAATGCAATGGTGGCAGGTATTAGATTTGAATGAATCAAACATGGGCTGGTCTGTTACTCTGGGGAGAGGTAACTACTTGTAAGCAAAACTAGTCTGAAAAGCACTTGAATATGAGGGGCAGCGCTTGTGACTTGTGTGCATGTTTCCTGCCAAAAGCTTTCAATGTGTTGAGTGAAATAGAAGAAAAATTCCAGCAAATGATCTGGTATTTATAAATGGGAGCAAAAAGATATTTGTTGTCAGTGCTTAGCTTTAGCCTTACACTGCATGGTACAAAATACTGAAGATGGATCTCTTGTAACTAAAGTGCTACTGTTAACTAATAGTAGAAATACATAACTCCAAAAAAGTAGTGGTTTCTCAAAGCTAATCTGTAGCTTTTTGGAAGGCCTACTAATTGTTGTCTTCTGAACCAGCTGGAAGACATTGCAACATTTGGCACACCACCCATCTCTCATATGGCTGCTTTGCTATTGTTTGCTTGTTCTAGGGCTAGAGACCCTCGTGAGGATTTTGGTCCCCCTTCCTTCATGTGTGGATTCAAGCCTTTTGTGTGTCATTTAACTCATTAGAGCTTGACTCCCTTTTTCCTTATAAGGCCATCCTGTTTGCTCACTTCCTGCTTTAGCTCCTGACTTTTCTCTTCTCCCCCCTCCTTCCTTTCCTATCCTGGATGCTTTCTCCATGTGGCACAGTTGTAACTATTCACAGCTGTCTGAAAAAGCAGAGAGCTGAGATCAGTACTGAGCCTCTAGCTTCCTTTCTCATAGAAAGGAAGTGCTTTAATGCTTCATCAGGCATATAACTGGAATTAACTTCTTGTTCTTTGTAGAACACAGAAAATCTTCCCCCTCATTTTAAAAGGGGGAATCTGAGTGTACTAAAGAAGAAGTGGGAGAATCCAGTGCTGGGAACGGAGTCTCAGAAGCAAACGCTACAAAGCAGCTGTGCTGAGGTTAGGCACAAGGTCGCCAGCCCTGGGCTCGGAGTCGGGAGCAGCCCTGCTTCTTCCCCAGACGCGGAGCAAACCCCGGGGGCTGGTGCTACATCTGACGCCCAGGCCCCTTCCAGCACCCCTGGCCAGCTGCAGTGTCCTGGTGGTGACAGCAGAAAGTTTAAAAGCCACCCACCAGAGAGCGGTAAAATGGAAAACTGTCTGAGAGACTCCAGAGAAGTGGAAAAGCCTGAAGCCAGTGAAAACACAGACTCTTCGGGGAAGATCGAGAAATACAGCGTTCCGCTGAACAAACTCAAGATGATGTTTGAAAAGGGTGAAGCGACTCAGACCAAGGTAAGGATCTGTCCCTTCAAATCTTAAGAGAAACTAAAACTGCTGCCTCTTGGGCATCAGGAAAAGTCCCTGGAGGGAGTGGCTCTGAACTATTGACTCTGCAAATAATTGTATTCCTTGTTTTAGTTGAAACATAACGTAGCTGGTGTTAGTAACTTACTTGAGCTATACAAATATGTGCAGATTGCTTAGATTTGTGGCTATTTGTGATTGCTTATTGGAGATGTAAAACGAATTTGCTTGTGAAAGGGGTACAATTTAAGAGAGAAAAATAAGTATGGAATTTATTAAGTTTTTTTTTTAAAGCAAGTTGGGATTGTTTATATCTTGTCTTTAGATTATGTTGAGTTATGCAAACATGAATTGTGTAAAAAAAAAAAAAATCTGTGTATATTTTTATATATATAAAAGAAAAAGTAACTGTTTGAAGTGAGCTCAACAGTCTTGGGCGGTTGCAGTTGGGATGGAAGTACTGCCAGAGTTAAGAGGTTTTTTTATATACGTATCAGTATGTGAGTCACACATATGCACATACATAGAGAAAGATATATATGTCCTGCGAAATACTCCCGTCTTTTCCTTGCTGTTCTCTCATCTTTGTATCTCAACAAATGTTTCTTATCGAAAAAAATCCTCACGGGGAAAAATAAGCAGAGATAGCCAGACAAGCTCCTGCCTTCACTAGTTTTGACTTGCAAATGCACAGGGCTTGCATTTTCCTACAACCGCTCATGAAATCTGATCCTGCATGTGGACTGCAGACTGTGTGTCCCCGGGGAGAATTGCTTAACTAGAAAATGAGTTGCATATGCTAGTGACTTGCAACATAGTCCTGAGGCCTTGATGCTGGTGGATTTTCCAGTTTTCTCATAGTTTCCTATACTTCTGGCTTTGTTTAACTGCGGGTGGTTTTCTTGCAGTATTGAGTAAAACAAACAAATTTTGTACAAAAGTTGTTTAAATATGTAACAATTAAGGGCTTCAGAGGAGCACCTCTGTGTTAAAGTGAGTTTTGGTCTGTATATAGTAATTTCACAACTTAGACTTTTGTAGTCTTTGTCATTATGTAAGTGCTGCCCATACTATCACGTCCATTGAAAGGGCGGGCTGTGGAGGGTGATCTCCCGATAGCACTTCCCTGAACTCTTGCTGTAGGATTAATCAGTCAGGATTCCACAGGAAAGTACCATTTTGCAGATGGGCTTCAAGTAACTTTATCTTAGCCTGAGGACTAAATTGTTTCGGAGCTGACTGAATCTGGAACTGATATTTCTGTCAAGCTTAGTAATTCAAATATTGTTGAAAACTGACTGAACACAGTAAATACCATACAGTAGGTATGAAACTATTCAGGTTAGGTTCAAATTATGTTCCTATTCCAAGTTCATCTGGTTACTTTTTAATTTTAGAAGGGAAAAGGCATGAAGAGCTCTAAAGTTTAAGTGTTTGGGGGCGGGGGGGGCGGGGTGTCTCTGTAATTAGAAAGCACTATTGTAAGATTTCTGGTTCTGGGAATTTATCTGAGAACTGGAGGATGACGTCATGCAGTCACGTACAATGAAGATAGTTAGGTGCTATGGGGACACAGATCTTTTTCACTAAGGGAAGAAGCAAGTACAGCAACAGTGTAACTTTGGCTAACTGCAAACTCTGCAATTGCCTCTTCCATTTATGCTTTTCCTGAACTCGGTCCATTGATAAACCCCTGGTTTAAGTGCAAACAAGGCTTCAGCTGAGAGATGGCAATTTTCCGTGGTATAAGGTATAAGTGCTGTCAGTACTTTGCTGACAAAACATCTGTATAAGCTAAGTAGCAACATGGCTGTAAAGACAGAACGACTTGCCTGGTTGCTGGGCAAGTCTCTGGCAAGAATCCAGATTAGAGCCTGGATTTCCTGACTCAATCACCCACTCTAAACAAACCAATTCTCATTTTCAGAGTTATAAGCAAAACCTCCTTGTTTATTCATTTTTTCATTCAGATCTTGCTCTGTCTTCTGCAATTCAGATACAAAGCAGATCTTTTTTATTGCATCTTCATGCAAAAAAATGCTCTAGCTACGTTAGAGATAGGCATGTCGGTCTAGATTGGTTCAGCACTAAGCAAAGACTGAGCATCAGGTCTTTTATCAATTTCAAAGAATTCTTCCTGTAAGTGATAGCGAAAGCACACACAAGGAAGATCAGAAGAAAAGAAAGAGCAAGCAGATCTGCAATACTTCTTAAAAAGTTGTCTCCAAGTTGGTTTGTGTTTTTCCTTTAAGGCAAAAACTTACTGTCTTGTGTAGCTAACCTTATGTGCGGGGTCACATTTGACACAGTTAGTATATAATGAAATAGGTGTAACTTTTATTTGGTCTTTTGCCCAACAACTCTTTGTGCTCCAGGCAAAATGCTGTTAACTCTGATTGTGGTATGTCTGCACTCACCTCTTTTGTCTTAGAACCTTGAGGCTTTCCAGACACGAGGAATATTTTATCTTATTTTGCAAGTAGCAGAAGCTGTGGCATGGGAATTGTGGCCCAGGCAGGGCTGTAAAAGGAACTGAGTGGCATAGGCATAAGGCTGGGAGTCAGGGATTCCTTCATGCAAAAGGTGTTGCCTTACATGAGCCATAATCACCCTCATTACTTGTGGTTGGTCAGTCTATTGATTGTAATGGGGAAAGTCCCTCATCTTCTCTTTGTTAAACTTTTTTTTTCCCCTATTACTCTGCTTTTTTTCCCCCACAATATAAAGCTGTTGATATAAAATCTGCACAACATTGATTTTATATCCATAGGTTTTAGTACTAGGACATGTACAAAAATATCTCTGAACTCTAACTAAAGCTTTTGTATTTTGGTGTTTTGGATTTTTACTCTCAAGACCTAGGCTAATTGTGTTATACAGCTTATCTACAGAGAAGTTCTTCAGGTGAAATTGTAATACCTGTAGATGTCTGAGGTGGCAAAGAGGATAGGAGGAAAGGAGCTGGCAGGACTGTGGAGGTTATTCAGTTGACAGTTGGAGTGCTCGTTAACTCAGTCTGTTTTAGCTGGTCATGAGATGGCTGCGTCTGATAACTGAACTCTTCCTGCTGCAGTGGATTCCACAGCAAGGTGGTACAAGGCGGGGGCGGGGGGAGCTCTTTGCTCTTAATTCAGAACTCACCAGCCTTCGTGAAGGTCCTACTGAGTCAAGCAGAAGAGTCTGTTTCTGATGAATATTGAATGCTCTGCTGCTGGTAAAAATATGTAGGTTTTTGGTTGCTTGGAAGAAAACCTTGATTTTGTGCACACGTCTAGATGAGGTGCTGGACCCTGATCCAGAATTCCTGTTGGTAGTAGCTGACTGAACACTTGTCATAATTGTTTGACAACGCACTGGCTCCTTGCCACTCTTATTTAGAGGTTTAATTTGTTTAATAGTTAATTTCAGCGATAATTGAGAATTCTTTGTCTTTTCAACATGAGGGCAGTTCAGCATGATGTTACTGGAGAAAGACTACAGTGAAAATAAATTGAAATAAGATTCTGAAACGAAGGAGAATGAGAAGAGGCAACCCGAACAAGTTTCCAATCTTGATTTCTAACTGTTTTTTCTCCTGAAAAGTGCTGGTGGTTTCTTTCAGTGAGGTTGGAATCCCAGATGCTGGATTCTTGAACTAAGACCTTTGTTCCCTAGTAGTGAAAACTTCCTTATGCACTCTGCTGCCAGTTAAACTTCCCATGTGTCTATATTGCAAACTTGTTTTTTCATTTGTAGCTTTGTCACTCCTTCTGTGTGCAAAAAAATGTATGTGGTGCCATATTATTAAACAAAAACAAGCAAACAAAAAAACGAAATAAAAAAAAAACAACAACCCAGGGCAGTGATAAAATAGTCAGGGGTTGCAGGTGTGCTAATAAACATGTTTTCCCTTCTGCGTCCTCAAAGGATCTTGTCTTCAAGTGTATTCTGCCTACAGTGATCTTCTCCATATACTAGTCAAAAGCTAGACCCTTTGAATGACGAATTCTGAGTTGTAAGAACTTCAGACTTGTGGGCTGAAGGTGACATTAAAGTGGACATAGGCTGAATAAGAATCATCTAAGGATAGTTTGCACAAAATGAGGAATCTGCAAGTCCTTACAAGTGTGCAGACACTCCCAAACTGAACCTATCAACACACTCAGTGGAAGGAAAAGACTTGTCATAGCTAAGCTCTTTTCCAGTAAAAGTTACCAAAGTCTTAAACCACAGAAATAGAAAATATTTCCCATGCTAATGGAAAAAGAGGTTTTCCAGCTGCATTTTCCTTTCCTGGTAAAGTTGCTGTTTTGTATGCCAAAGCAGCCTGATTTTTCACAGTGATTATCTTACAGTGCAGTTCTGTTAAAATAAAACTTTGGAATTTCCTTCAGTTTGGTGAGCAGCAAATAAGAAACCTGTTGGAAGCTGGGGGGTGGGTGAGGGGGAATGTGTGGTTGGAGCATCTTGCCAAACCTGCCTTTTTCCCTACAAAAAATCCAACTGGCTCTGTGATTTAACTCTTCCTAGGGAGGGTACAAAGATCTGTCACCTTCTAGTATTTTATAGGTTGACTTTCAGCTGTGAAAACATCCTATCCTGATGAAGTCAAATTAAACTGTGCACTTCATGAGCATTTATCAAAGCTGCTGAAATTTCTTTTCACAATTTCTTTTATTGAGCATTAGATTTTTGGGAGTTGGTTGGCTCTGTGATTTAACTCTTCCTAGGGAGGGTACAAAGATCTGTCACCTTCTAGTATTTTATAGGTTGACTTTCAGCTGTGAAAACATCCTATCCTGATGAAGTCAAATTAAACTGTGCACTTCATGAGCATTTATCAAAGCTGCTGAAATTTCTTTTCACAATTTCTTTTATTGAGCATTAGATTTTTGGGAGTTGGTCTCAACAAATGAGTATCAAATCTGTTTGAGCCAGCCAGAGCATCTGTGTGGTAGTGCTACAAAACACCCTGTCCAGCACCGCATTGCCAATAGTGATTATCCTGGATATCTGAGAATATTTATCTCTAGCACTCTCCTGCTTAAGCTTCAGCCTTATCAGACCTAATTAGGGAATTATTTGCTACCAAGTGCATGAGCTATCCAAATCAAAACAAGTAACTTTAGATAACTTTTATTACAATATATTTATTCTTCCTTCTGTTGCTGAAAATCAATGCAAGTTTTTGATACCTCACTCCTTTCCTCCTTTTTCTGATTTTAAATCTTCATAAAATGACCTTGAACATTAGCTTCAAAAGAAGTCATATGAAATGCAAAAATCTAGACTGAAGTTTTGTATTTGCAGTGGTAAATGCCTAAAAATCTGATCTTTATCGTTCTCTGACTTTTCAACAAAGATAACTAGTCAAAGGGCATCTACTGACCTCTTCAAGAAAGTGTTTTCCAGGTGACAGAGGGTCAGGTATTCTGTGATCAAACTTTATATTGGTTAAATAAGATGTCACCTGCTAGACTTGTTTATTCCAGTAAAGCAGATTTGCTAGTGACACCTGTGCATCTTAAAGGATTATACGCAACAATCTTTGTTTGTCCAGGCAGCTGATAGGTGGGTCTTGTCTCTAACAGGTCCCTAGAGACCAGAGGAAGACAGCAGTCGGTAGGAGGATTTCTGAAAACAGCCTCTCTTCGGAGGACTTTGATGTTGGCCAAGGAGAGAAGAGTCATAGTACATCAGGTCAGTAAACCTCATGGTTTGTGTTTTGTTTTGGTTTTTGTGTGGGTTTTTTTTTTTTTTAAAACTAGTTTATACAATACAACGGAGATAACTTTTGCCTTTTAGAAATGGAAGGAAGTGTAGTCATCTTCCATCTGTAAAGTCCATGCGAGCATTGCATTTAATGAATTAAGTCTTGCTGTGAATTTTAAACCATTATACTCTTAAGCACGGGAAACCAAGGCACAGGAGATAACTAGCAAGTTAAGGAATGGAACCCATTTTTTCCCTGGGTCTTAATCCTAGGACAATCCTAGAACTAGTTTTAATAGTCAGACTAATTTAGAAAGTAGTGAACAGACAGACAAGACAATATGCCTTCTTCCTTCTTGCTTTAATTCTCATCCCTTCTACCTTGTCCAGACATGGGTAACTACAGCTAGCCTTATGACTTGAGCAAAGTTACGTATTTTTCATATGTTTGGAGACTCTTTTGTAACAAAGCATTTACAATCTTTTGTGTTTTCAGCCTATGGCTAACGTTGTATCTCACTACGTAGTGATGCACATTGTGTCCTTATTTAAGCAATACTGGAGAGAATGGCAAGAACTACTCACATTTGTTTATTGTCCCCAAGAGGGACCTTAATGATTCAAACAACTTTTTAGTCATTCAAGGCCACTAGCTAGTGAAAGGTCATTTTTTTACCACTTTATTGAACAATTAAGCTATTACTGAAGACCTGACCATTATACAGGGAAGGTAGATAGCAGAGCAGTCACAGGAGCTGGCTTTTTAACCTATTTGGCTAACATCTGAAAGCAAAAATAAAAGATGGATGGCAAGTAATGGGGCATAGTTCTGAGAGTCAGGAGATCTGCACCTATGCAGAGACTTAAGCTCCCAAATGTTTCTTTCCTCTTGAGATAAAAACAGATGCTTCAAATGATCCTGCGAGACTAAACTGAATTATTTCATAACATGTTTGTTCTCGAGATCCTCATCTGTAACATGTCATGCGATAAATTATTTTCATGGAGAAGGTGGAAGTGGCAGGTGAGACTTCCTTCCTTGCTTCCCATGTTTTCCCCAAAAGACTTTGACAACTATTCCACTACAGGAATGATGTATATTTCCATTTAGCCACTGTAGCAGCTGCTTTCATCTGACACTAACAGCAAAACAATCTTCAGTGTTAAAACTGTGTGCTCTCTTTACTTCTGAGACCACTGGCTGGACGCTGCATCTGGTGAATACTTCTGAAACTAGCTGGATTAATTATGAGACTTGGAGCATAAACCTTTGACTGAAACATTTATGTGCTCTTCAGATCTGGAATTTCTGTGGTCTTGGGAGTGGTGAAGGGATGGGATTTGTAATTCTTTCTGTAGACGGGTCTACTGGTGTTCCTGAAAGTTACCCTTTATTCATGTAGTTCTTTTTCCAGGGCATCTTGTAGATACTAGTCCAGCACTCAGTCCAGATAAGGCAGAGACCAAGAAAAGCCTGGAGATGCCTCGCTTAACAGAAACTTCAATAAAGGATAGGCTGGCAAAGTATCAGGCAGCTGTGTCCAAGCAGGGCAGTTCCACAGGCCTCATTACCATGGTAAGTCTGTTCTTTGGCTTGTGTAGAAGTGAATTTTTGTCCCAACCTGAGACTGGAAAATGATCTCACGGAAACCAGGCTTTTCGAAGATAATGCCACCTTCTTTTGAAAATAACTTTGTGCCCATAGGAGTCATTTCTAATGAAGAGTTGCCTCTACATACTGCAGGAAGAAATAAATATTTGCATCTTTCTGGAATAATCCTGAAATTTTTCCGAGGAATTAATTGCTGGCACCCTGACTGAGGTCCTTCTGAAACATAGCTGACATTCTTTTTTCTTTCTGCATGTCTGTAGCTCTCTACATGTTTGCTGCTGTTGTTGTTTTTTCTTAAAAAACAAACAAACAAAAAACAACAAAACCAAACTCAATTCTGTATTGTACAGTAGCTATAAGCTAGGGGAGACTGAGGCACAGTAAGATGGAGCGACTTTCAATGTCATACAGTGCATAGAACCTGGATCTCTTGGCCTGCAGCTTTGGAATCTCCAGTCAGTTTTCCTCCCTTTTGCTTTTCACCTCCCTTCAAGTTTTCTCACCCATTATCTGAATCCAATTAGACTCTTGCAGTGAATGAATCCATGCCAATTTTGCAGATATTTGATCAGGAAATGAGCAATTAATGAAACATGGCAAAGTATTGCAGCTGAAGAGATTGCAAGAATCTAAGCTTTTGTTAAAAAGTGCTTAAGTACATTTGCTGGCACTGTCTGATACTTTTGCTTAATGATGGGAACTTTTATTGCTTAAGTATGGCTTTTATTAACCGGAGTAATACATTTTAAGAGGATAGGCCTTTTTAAGTTAGGAAACTTGCACTGGAAATAAAAGCCAAAAATGATGGTTGTAAGCTTTGGAAGAGTGCATGCTTCCTGGGTATCTTTGTAGAGAGGCAAAAGTCTCTACCCAGCTGAAATGATTTCTGAATTTCATAGGCAGTGTGGGTCTAATTCTCCAACCCTTGGGCAGAAAGTCGAGTAAACTTCACTGCATGAATGGAAAGTAATTGCAGCCAGTGCAACAAATCTGATTAACTGTTAATTGCTGATTTCTGCATTCTGTTTCTCGCCTGGATTCAGTTTGCTAGATTGCCTTTTCCAGTTGTGGCTCAGAGTGGTAGCTGATCCACTAAATTATGTCCTAATGGCAAGAGATTTACCATAGATGTCTCTTGAGGCTCTTGTTTGCAAATCCCTAATGCTATCAGTTTGAGTGTCAGTCCAAAGTGATGCTCTTAGGATGTCCCATTTGGCAGAATCTCTTTCGATTTTGGCCTGGCACATCGACAAGGGCAGCACATAAGATGGAGCAAATAACGGTTTCTGAGGCCAATGTTTGCAGTGCTTCTGTGTTCCAATAGCAGCCATAACTCTTGGATATTCTCCTTCCCTGCTGACAAAGCAACTAGGGCTCTTTTGATATGGTAGTGTGGTATTTGTACTTCCCTTCTCTTAAAATGTGTCACATCTGTGCTACAAAGGAAAGCCATAATCTGTTCTGGGAACAACTATTTTGAGGGCATTGTGGTGTAATTAGGCTTGGATTAAAACTGATAGACACTTTTACAGTTGGTTAGAGTAAGGGTGAGAAGCAATCATTTCTGTGCATTGCAAGTGATACAGGAAGGGGAGGGAGAGATGATGGACAGCATATTTAGAGCTCTATACATTAAAATTCTAACATTCAATTACATACCTGTTAGACGTGGTTGGTTTTGTGCAGACTTGTTTACAAAATCTGGTAAGATGCTGGTGCTGGCATTTGGCTGTTTCTCTGTCACATTACAGAGAAGATGCCTTGTGAAAGGCACGAGTCTTTCTCCAATTATCTTGTATCCTGTGGCAATGAAAGAAACACGAGGTTTCACTGGATTTTATTTTTTTTTAAGTCTGAAAGATTCTTTTGTGAAAATCTTAAACAAGTCAGTTTGTCAAGAACAAAAATCTTGGTAAATAATAGAATTAGGTTTTTTGACTAGTATTGAAGGAAGGGTAGGATTTGCTTTTATGTCTAATTGTATTTTTCAGTTACACAATGTTTTAGATAGCACTTGTCTTGAAATACTTGTAATTTCAAATGAAAAGTTAACATTTCTGGAAGAGGAAGATGTGGATTGAGCAGGGGAAATGAGAATTGATTTTAAACGGAATCTGGAAGTAGAGAAAAGGGGTTGTTTAGAAAAATGCTGGCATTACCTCCATAGAGTATAGTAAAATTCCACAGCCCCATCTTTTTTCATTAGAATGTATCACTTACCAAGTTTGTATAGCTTTTTATGCCCCTTCCTTTAATTATCACTGTATATACTAGGAATACAGTTTAAAGATGATTTTAAGAAAAATAGAAAGCAAGTACTTTCCTAGGGGAAAAGAACCTGTCAACTTTCAAGTGCTTTATTCTATAGAATGAGATTCAAGCCAGTGAAAGTGAACTCAAGAATTACAAATCTGAGCAGAAGGAGAATATGCCACCAAGTCTTGAGGACTCCATTTCCTGTCAGGATGGGGAGAAGGTAAGATGCTCATGCTGGTGAAGATCAAAGACTTCACTTTAAGTGGAACTAGTTGTAGAAGCACAGCTGATATACTTGTTCCACATGCCATCTAGAAATTGAATGTGAGCAGCTGATAAAGATTACTTACATGCTGCAGAATTCCTGATTTATTTTTTTTTTTTTTTTTTAAACTGTGTCTGAATTATAAGCTAGCAAGTCTCTGTAGAAGACTTATAAGCAGTTGTAGAGACTATCTAGAGACAACTGGAGAGTTGCCCTATCTTCTCAGTAATGGCATGCCTGTAGTGTGGCAGAATTCTTCAATATCACACTTACGTATTTTCTGATGGCTTCAGTAGCTGACTGGGGCTGAAACCTTTCATGGTTTTGTGGGGTTTTTTGTTCTGGTTTTTTTTTTTTTGACTCTGCCATTAATTTTTGATGACTATGATGAAGCCATCTAAGCTTTTTTGTGTCATGTTCCCTAACTGTAAAAAGATGATTCACAGCTAGGTATTTGTTTTGTTTATGGTTTTTTTTTTTTTTTTTAATAAAACAAAAAAGAAACCACACCAGAAAAAAAAACCATGAGAAACTTTGTGTGACGCAAGTAAAAGGAGTTTGTCGCTGTTTCTTCTGCATTTAGTGGCTAAATTTTGATTAAGGTAACTGAGAATGCCAGTTTGGGTTTGTTCCTGGTTTTGAGCTTCAGCTGTAAACTGAGACTAAATTACTCTGTGAATTAGAGATAATAAAGCATGCTCAAGCATTTGTATACTAAACTGGGGACAGCAGACGGGATAAAAGTAGCTGAATAATAATTGGGGTACTGTTTATTCCAGCCATTCTGAACACGTGGCAGCCTAATGCCAGGAGGGCTTTTAGAGCTTTCCAGTCTTCCTTGGGCAAGGGGCCAAATTGTTGCTTTCAGCTGTTCCTTGCTGACAGCTGAGCAGCTTCATGTTTAACTGGTCGAGGCTGTTTTTTGCTAAAAGGTGAGTTAATTAAAAGAACACTTGTTAAATCAGAATACTTCCCTGCTGTTCAATGGAGGATTTGAATAAAATTTCTTGTATTCAGCTGTAATTGTGAAGTTACTTGTTGAGGTGTCGAGATGCAGTAAAGAACCTGAATAGAACATTGTTTGAGAGCCAGGATTGTCCTTTTGAAATGACATGATGAGCTTTGGAAATAAGCCTAATTAAAACTACTAGTAGTAAATGTCAGAAATGTGAATCCTCTGGCAAAAAGGAAACAAAAGAAACTTGCTAACCTTCTCTGTCATTTTTTACACTGAATCTGTGAAAATTTAGTAGCCTGACGTGTGTGACTCTAACAGCCACAGAACATGCTCATGCACTTCCTAGTATACTAGTGTTACAGTTATTTTTTCAGTAGACCAGAGTATGTTAATATATGTAACTTGCTTCCTCATTACCTCATTAATTTGCAAACTTTAGTTGCTTGCAATGGACCTTCCAATCATTAAAGTGAATTAGTGATGATTTGCAGTTAATCTTGTTACAGTACTTCAGTTTCTCAGTGTAGCTATTTACAACTATTTGATTTAATAGCAATAGTGCCAAGTTTAATAAAGAAATATACATCAAGAGCTTTACCTGTAACATGTTTAGTATCTGAAATGGGTTTATATCCAACTCTTCTAAAAAGTTTTTTTTTAAAAATATGAATCTGTTTCTGAAGGAGGATGAACAGGATAGGTCCAGACATGTTTGTCCCAACCTGGGAACAGCAGATTTCTAGTTCTACAAAAGTTTTTTAAAAATTCAGCTGTTCTTCACCCCCCCGCCCCCCCCAAAGCACTGTCTTTGAATGTTTAAATGTCATAGATTTGTCAAATGTTGGAGGGAGCCATGAGATTTCCACTAACTGTGTACTGCTTGGTGTCAAGGGATTTCTGAGTAAGAAAAGCTGGGAGGTAAATCAATGAAATCAACAAGGATTTCTGAAGACTAATAGATAAAGGTGTACAAGCTGTGGGTGTTTGGGAAAACAAAAATACGGTGTTTGTGTGTGTGAACACTTTGGCAGATAATCTGAATATTGCAAGAGCTGTAAAATTATGAGGATGTCTACCTTGCAGCAAGGACTAACGTTCTTGGCAGTCAGCTGGACTCCGCCTTGTGCCTTACAAAACAAAAAGTAGCTTCATGTGCACGTCAGTGTGGCCAGTGTCTTCCTGTTTAAGTGCTTACAGTGTCAAACTGCCTGTTGTGTTACTCAGGCCATGATTATTCAGACTTCAGAAGGTCAAAGGTGCTCATGGTCTAATATTCTCTTGCAGGTTTCTGTAGGTGAGAACAGCTTGTCTTTCCACTCTGGTCTTCTAGAGGATGGCAATGGTAAGCACTGGTTCTCCTGCCTCAACAAGAGTAAAGCATGTGGCTGAGGAAAAGCACTAACTCTGCTCAGTTGTGTGTAGGATGCTTAAGATCAGTCCTGTCAAATGATGAATTTGACCCAATAAAAACCTGTCTTGTACTAAAAATCTGTCCTGTGCCTAACTCAAACTTTGTAAGAATTTCTTTCAGGTTTAGCAGTTCATTTGCAATTGTAATTCTAAGACATCTGTAATTCTTGTTTGCTCTGATTGAACATATTTAAGTGTAGCTTCCTCACCATTTGGACTTATAGCTCTGGCAACTACTACATCAGTCAATAGGCTGAAGTACTTATTAATGCAGGACAATTACCAAGTGTCTTTGATGTTGTCCAGAGATAGACAAGTTCCTATTCAGTAAAGTACTTAAGTACGTTCTCATGGTGCCTTAGCTTTATGCCTAAATTCAAGCCCCCATGTGAGCACTTTGCAGAAATGAAGAACAGTTCCTGGAAGTTAGATGTTGGATCCCTATATATTAGTTTCCTTTACATATCAAATTAACTTTCCTGGTAAATCACAAAAGTAGAATGATCACGTTTAAGTATCTAGATCTAAAGGTTTAATAGCAGATGTTCAAGAAAAAATGTGTTAGCCCTTAGCTGGTAGATTGCTGTTTGGTCTTCCGAGCATAAGCTTTCCATGGTTTTAAAGTCATTGTATTTAACTTTTCTTCCTCCTGTGCTCCCTTAGTTGGACAAAACTTGGAGAACGAGACAGAAGTTCAGAAACCTGTCAGCACAAAGCAGCAAAACTTTGGTTCTAAACCAGCTGGCCAGACAGATGCATCTCTGCCAAAAGCAGTGAAGGTAAAGCAGCTATTTATTCTCAAACATTGGCGATGGTTAAAGCCAACTAACTTCTCTATTTAATATTGAAAAGCCTTAATGCAACCAATGTGGTCATAAAGAGTCTCGCAGTAACTGTATCAATATCTGATCTGTCTTCATTAGACTGTGTTCATGAGGGAACTTTAATTCAGAATGGAAAAGCATCTGAAAACTGTCAGTTTTTCTTCAAAGACTAAGTTTGAGTTGCTTGCTGGGAGTTGCCCTGCTGCTGTTACAACAGCGTGCCCCTGTGACAGAGGCAGTTTCTCTCCCGTGTGGGGAAAAGAGGTTTGAGCAGGGGATCGTATCAGGGCTTGTCTAGGCCTCTTGTAAAGTCAGTGCTCCTGGAGACTGGCACTAAGGTCCTGATACTGCTCTTCAGAGCCTTTAGTGGGCTGGGACTTGGCTTTCCACTCTCCCCTTCCAGCTGTTCCCAAGGTAACTGCAATTGGTAGCAGCTTCCTAGTAAGGGCAGTGCGGTGACTGACCCCACAAAGACTGAGTTTGGCATTCTGAATAGCAAGTCCTTAACGTTACATTTTCTTTAGCGGGAGCTATAAGGCATAAAGCAGATGGAGAACTTTTTGGATAGGAATGTATTTGCTAATCTTATTAGACACACAAACGGCAGTGCTGAACATTTTGATCACACTGTACTTTCTTGTCACGTGTGCTGTCTGGAGTTAGGATGCCTGTTCCCTGGCTGCCACAGACTTCCTGGCTCACTCCTGAGGAAACAACTGTGCTTTTGTTGTTTTCCCCATCTTTGAGAGGAACAGTACTGACCTCACGAAGACCAGTGAGATGTGGCTTCCTAGTGTTCTGGAGTATAAATGCCAGTATGCAAAATTAGAGCTGCCTATAACATTTTTGTAATCTCAGTCTGTTACAGCATACAAGATACACACAACCTGTGTGTCTTGGTCCTCTGTGCTATCTCTTTATATTATTAGAACCATTTTAGATCTCTACCTTGTTACTGCTTTAGATGCTGCACTGCCGAGATAGAAAACCAGATGCTGTTTATTCATGTAAGGTTCCTATTTGTCTCTTCCAGCTTCTGTTTCCTGTTCTTGGTTCCTAACCTCTACTCCTGCCTTCTGCTTCCCTCCTAATGTGAGCTCAACTCTCAGCTTTCTCTCAAGTTTTTTTATATTTATTGGGCCTCACCTTCTTCCTGTAGCTCCTATCTGTAGTATGCCTGGAAAGGAATTTCTTTTTCTTCACACCCCAAAACGCCTCTCCATCAGACATAGGGCTCATTGTTATACAAGTAAGTTCCTCTTCTTAGATGGGGATGTGCATTGCAGAAGCACATGCCAGCACCGTAATGTCATCTTGCAAAACTAAGCTTTCAGGGAGAGTTACTTTTTGATGGGCAAACAAATTGTTGCTGCCTTGCTCCCTGTGGCGAGCATGGATGAGTAGATTTTTGTTTGTATCAGTAAACTCTCATTTTTTAAGATTTAATTTAGTGACTCAAAATTCAGAATTCATATGCAGTTTTGGTAGCACCTAGAAATTGTGGATTTTTTTTCAAAAGGAACTCTGAACTTCTGTTGGCCAAGCTGTCATCATAATTAGAACTTTAATCTACTATAACTTCAAGCAATGCCTTAACAAAATTGAAATACCTGTTAAACTGGAATTAAATTGGCAGCAAACTTTATGGTTGTGACAAACTGACTTCTGCTGGCTCTGTCTTCAGCAATCTGTCCCTCATGTATTGTTAACTTTCATTGCCTAGCTATTGTTTCTAGTCTGTTATAAATAAATTGCTGTAATTATGTCTTCCTGTGACCTTCCTGTTTTTTCTTTAGTCATCATATTTTTCCTTAAAACTTTTTAGTAAGTATGTAGCAGGTAATTCTTTGTCAAAGAAAAGCTACAATATCAACGTGTCTATGGAGACCCGTAGTATGGAGCCTAGGTACTCTTTTACCCTGCTGCTAAAGTAGTTGTAATCAACATGCAGCCTGAGACTACCCATTTTTCAACTGTAAGTTATTTAATTTTTCCTTTAAAGTGTCTTCTCTATTGGTCAAGCTTAGTAGATTCCAAGAATTGAATGGCATCAAGTGACCTTTTTTCATGGACAATGTGCTTGCTTCCTTGATGCTGTCAGAGAACAAAATCTGGAATCGTTCCCATACAGCACAGCAGCGACACTTGACTCCTAAGTATTTAAATTTACCCTTGCACTAAACTCTCAGGAAATTCTCTTAGTGAGCACATAAACAATTTTAGCTGTTTAACCTCAAAGCCCTGCTCACTTTAAGTCTTGAGCAAGTTTGAGGTCTTGAAACCTGAGTATAGTTTCTTTGCGATGGAACTGGAATTGCTTACATATGAAGTCAGAAGTGTTTCCTTCTGCCTGCATCTGTGCTGAGACTATTTCCTCCTCTTTAAGAGAGGAGAGCATTTAACAAATGTGGATTATTTCAAACCGCTGAGCAGCCTGTTCCACTCCTTTCCCCTCCCACCCTCTACCTTTTATTTTGAGGTTATTTCAGCTCTTTTTCTGCACTATTTTTTTTATTTTGATAAGTGTCATACTGACTGTAATCTACCTGAATGTTTCTTCATCATTTTCCTATCAAGAAAAATTGAGGTTGCAGAAATAGATTAGACAGCTTTTTGGGAACTGGCTCAGTCAAAGTTATAACTGAGTTCTAGTATTTTTATTGTTTCTTCTCAACCATTGCTCAACTTGTGATGCTTCAGCTGTGGAATTCACTGGGGCAAAATCTTGGCTCATTGTCAAGCCACAGCAATCCTGTGGGCCTGCCATAGCCTCTTCCTCACTCATTGCCCACCAGAACCCACTCTACCATAATTAGCATTGAGTTGCAGAAAGTGAATCGCTGCAATTTTTCTGAGAACTCTGGAAGCCATGCATGAACCCAAGCCAAGTCCCTTAGCAGTTGATTCATTTTCCAGTTAACAAGCTTTCTCTTCTTCCCGTAGAAATTTCAGTTGCCAATGAAGGAAACCTGTGTTGGGTGTCAGAAGACGGTGTACCCGATGGAAAGGCTCTTTGCCAACCAGCAGGTGTTTCACATCAGCTGTTTCCGCTGTTCCTATTGCAACAGTAAACTCAGGTAAACACAGTGCTCTATTTGGCTGCCCTCTAGGAAGTGTAGCTTTCCTCTTCAGCAGCTGAGCAAGATGCTGTTCAGGCTTAGCTGAGCTGAAGGCAACCACAATCCAGCGAATTGGAGAGGAGCGTAGGAGTGGTAATACAGTCCTAGTTCTGCCAGTGGCTTTTGCACTTGATGCAGTCTATTTTTAAACTCTTAATGTAATTTTATGTGGGGGAAAAATATAATGTCCAACTTTGTAAAGAACTCCTGACATTTGAAAAGAGGATCATACAAACTCATGAAAGCTGTAAGCTTGTCTTTTCTAAACATGTTGGAAGACTGAAATTGAATCTCTTCAGTTAACATAACTAAAATATATACACGTCTCGGTGGCTGTGACACAGAATGCTAACATTTGACTTTGTATTTTCCTGAACAGTCTTGGGACATATGCATCTCTGCGTGGGAACATTTACTGCAAGCCTCACTTCAATCAGCTCTTCAAATCTAAAGGCAATTATGATGAAGGCTTTGGACACAAACAGCATAAGGAATTATGGGCAGGCAAAACTGAATGTGAAGAATCCCTGGAGAAAACTGTCCATGGTGTAAATGCAACAGAAAGTCCGCAAAGCCCAGGAGTGGAGGATGCCCCAATTGCAAAAGTAGGAGTTCTGGCAGCAAGTATGGAAGCAAAAGCTTCAGCTTTGCCTGAAAGAGAAGAGAGACCAGCAGAAACAAAAAAGCTCAAGATTGCCTGGCCGCCTCCATCTGACCAAAGTATCCAAGGAAGTGCCTTAGATGAGGGCATCAAAGTATTCAAACCCAAATGGCCCCCAGAAGAAGAGATTTCCAAGCCAGATGTGCTGGAGGATGTGGATCTGGATCTCAAAAAGTTAAGAAGATCTTCCTCGCTGAAGGAAAGAAGTCGTCCCTTTACAGTAGCAGCCTCATTTAGAACAATATCTGTTAAAGGCCATAAAACAGAGAATTCATCTTCTCCTTCTAAGGCAGGGAGAGACATGTTGAAAAGAAGTGAGGAACTGGAGAGAGAGGTTGTGGTAGACAAAAAGCAAAAGGAAAAGAAGGTTGAGAATAGGAACATCCAGAGTGCTGAAGAAAAAAACGTAGAGGAAGAATGGGAATTGTCTGCTATCAAAACAGTAGAGCGTAACTTTGTAGAAAATGGCCAGGTGAATGCAGAGACAGATGAGGAAGAACACGCTATGGAAGAGCAGGAAATTCCAAATGAAGAATTCCTTGAACAAAATGCTTCTCCTAAGCATTCCAGCTTAGCCAATGTCGTGACTGCTAAGGAATCATCTCCTAACCAGAATCGCAAATCCCAAGATGTTGGTTTCTGGGAGGGTGAAGATATGGAAGATCTATCTGTGGAAGAACAGATCAAAAGGAATCGTTACTATGAAGAAGATGATGAAGAATAAATGGGCCTTTTACTAGAAAACTTGCTGCAAGGTGCTGGGCCTTTTTAAATCGGTGTTTTTAGCTTTAATAAACAGCTGTCCTCCATGAAAGCGATGCTATACTGCACATCGACATTAAGGGAATTCTATGTACAAATTATCTCAACTAGAAAAATACTCTGGAGCCTGCAAAGAGTATATCTAGGTGCATGGAAAAAAGTATCTGGCTGTGGGATAGCTTCAACAGGTAATCTCTGTCCACAGCACGAGAACAGAGCTGTTCCGTACTCCTACTGTCTTACCCTTTTGAGCTTCAATACATATTTCACTAACAATTTACGGAATTTCACTGTACTCGCAATGGTGGTGTGAAACAGGCTTTCTGTAATACACTACTTTTACCACTACAAATGCTACTGCAGTGCTTAGGGACCAATTTCAAAGGGACTTTCTGGCCTGCTTTAAAAATGGTGACTTAATGCACTTTAATACATGTCAAGGGCACAACTGGGATTTTTTTTGATAATAAAAACATTTATGTTTGTGTTTAGTATCCAACAACTACAGCATCTTAAACTGAGTGCAAAGTGATTTTCTTTCTCAAAACTGCCTATGATCAATTGAAGACTCCCTACTCTATTTTTCTCTGTGCAACTGGAATGGTGTGCCCGTAGCTGGAACATATGTATTTTAGTGCTTATCCAGAAGCTGTGCTGACTGACAGATCTCTTTGAGGACAAGTCAACACTTTTGCAGTAGCCTGCAGGGCATTACTTTTGCACTTCATATGCATTTGAAGTGGGTTTTTTTGTTTTGGTTTGTTTTTTACTTGGAGTTCATCATCATTCATTTTAGAGTGCAGATAATATTTTTAAGGCCTTTTGACATCTTTGAAATCCTACTTGTATCAAGCTGCCATACATCTTTTCATTATGGCTGTGAAATTACGCTGCATTGCAAAAATCTCTGGAATAAAACCATCTGAACAGTGAAACTTTCTGATTGCTACCATTGAAGCTGAGTACATTTTTAAACTTGACTTCATTTATTTTACAAATAATGAAATCTTGAACGGTGGAAGGAGGTGCCCTTTTATATTAGCTTTTATTTGTACTGTATTCTCATGAGAATTAGCTCTTAACTATACTTGAGGTGTAAAATATTCTGCTTTCTTAACAGTCCTGCTAACTACAAAATCTTCAATAAAGTTCGGTCATTTACATTAAAATTTAAGGCTGAATTCGTACTTGTTTCACAAAGAGGCGGCATTTTAAAAAGATGGGTGAAATACTGGTGTTCTTATTGGAAGCTGGAGACCAGACAGAGATTTTTCTGGTGCCACTAGGTGACACTATGTGTCCGCTTTTTTTCTGGTTGACAGTCAAATGGGCCGACTGCTCTCCTATGCAAGAGCGTGTGGAAGAGGGATTAGAACAAGATGGGCAAAAGAAATAAGGACATGCAGGTATTTTACACTTCCATTTCTGGCTTCAGGTGATTCTCGGGCATGGTAGCTGAGGACAACTGAGGGGTTTTTTTTCCCCCCTTCCTATAAGCTTCTTTGTATTGCAGTTATCTTCACTTAAGCCTGAGGTGGGTTTGGTTGGGATAGACAGGGCCTAAGACCTAGAAGAAATGCAGGAAGTGTCCTGCAGCAGCATGAGAAAATGCACGTGTGTATGACATGTATATAAGGGAAGGAGGGAGAGAGAAGCGAAAAGAAGCCTGCTATCTAGCTGGAAGGTATTAGCACTTGCACATCATGAGGTGTACAACCTACTGCTAATTCTTCTTTCTTTTTAAGGGAGAAGTAAGACTTGATTTGTACAGATAGAGGTATTGCAAAACTAAGAAAGCTGATGTGCAAGCACATGCTGCTTTCTGTAATCTTTCTCTCTTCCTAGCAAAATGCATTTTGTATCAGACTTCCTCAAACTACTAAGCAATTGGAGATCTTTCTGACTGGAAATTGTGCTAAGTGTATTTTTGAAAAGGAAGGGAAGAATATTTGTTGTGGACTTGGATTTATTGAATAGGCCTACTACTTGTTTCTTAGGAATGCAGTTGAATTTTACAATGCATCCCCAGTTTACATGATACTAAAGCAATACTGGCTGCAGTTACCAGAGGTTTTAATGCTATACATCATTAGTTCTAGTTAAATCTGAGGCATCTGTGAGTCCCTGAGATACAAGGACCCTTACTGTTCACTCAGACTGGCTGAACATCTTCAAGGAGAAATTAGCACAAGTGGTACTTTAAAAGTCGTTGATTAAAAAAAAGTGAACAGATCATGAACTAGCCTGTCCTGAAATCTATTAGTTATCAGAGTATTTGAGTGCTTAATGGGCCGTTTAATTTGCTCTCAACTGGGCAGATGCCCAAAGAGCTGTTCTATGAAAGATGGATCATTTGCTACAACGTACAAGGAAGTTGATACTGATCACCTTTATGGAGAGTTTGAGAATCTAATTGAAAAGCTTACACAAAGGCTAGGCTTTGTTACTTGGTAACCCTCATCCCAAGATGTCAAGTTAAACCACAAATTTTTCTGAATTTTTTAAAAGCTATAAGGAATATCCTAAACTTTGCTAATCAGTTTACCTCTCGCTCTCTGTTTTGTGCTTAAATATTAAACCACATCGCTATTAATATTAGTAAAACTAATCCTTGGTATCTTACCATAAACTCTTCACATGAGAAGTTGCACTGTCCTGCTTGCAGCTCTGGGGCCCTTCCCTTCAGAGGTGAGTGAAACGGGCTATGAGCCCGTCTGAGGAATCCTGCCTCTCGGGGGTGAGCGGGATGTGGTTTATCTACCGGAGTGGGGTAGCAACCGCCTCCGCAGCGTTCAGGCGGGGCTCGGCGCCCGCCTTCCCGGGGGAAGAGAGCGGACTCCGCTCAGGAGCGCGTGCTTTAGGCCCCATTAAAGACTGTCTTGAGGACTTTTTTCAGTCAGAACAACTCGTCTCTGTTAGTGGAAAAGCCCCTGAAGGCTCGGCAGCCCGTGACGGGCCGCCTTCGCGCCGCCTCCCCTCAGCGAGCGCTGAGGCGGCGGCTGGGGTGCG